ACTCCCCAGGCTGCCTTCTGCCTCTCTGCTTTTGCTCTCACCATTTCCTTTGCCTGGAGTGCCACTCCATCCCTTGCCCAAGCCCTCTCATGTCTCAATACTTAGTCCCTGTGAGGCTTCCCTGACCTTATTCTTCTCTCCCCATGAGTTTGAGCACCTTTTCACCTCCACCAGGTTCTAAGAAGGTTCCTATCAGAAACCCCAAGACACTATTGCACACACTTGTTTTCATGCCCTCTTGCCCAACCACGATCTTTCTAAGTGCAGGCCTGTTTGTGGTTCATCTTGATAGCTTGTGCAACCCTGCCACACAGAAGGGGCTCAGGAAAGACTGTTGAATGAATGAGCAAACTAAACACCCGTGCTAAAGTGGATCGCTTCTTTAGTCGTAGCAAGAATTGACTCAAAAGTGGATATTATAAGCTGCATTTGATCAGAAGTAAGGGGCAACCCTCAGTCCAGTTCCTCTTCACCATTTCCACAGTCTGCTAGCTCCAAAGTCAGGCCATCCTACTTCTGAGAACCAAATAATTATCTCCTAATTAGTCCCTCTACCAACCTGCCTCCGTGCCCTGACAAGTCACTCTAATCACCTGTGGCCTGCTCTGTGCACACCCCAGGGGTGATGAGAGAGATACCACGTGAGCATGCCAAAAGAAAAGCTCAGGACTATATTATCATGCCCTCGTTTTAAATTCTTATTTGTTGTGTATGAATTATAATGTTCATACCATTATTAATAACTCTTATTTAGTACTTATGATGTTTCAGGGACACTTCTAAGCACTGCATGTATAGACACTACTTTAATTCTCATAACAATGCAGTAAAATAGATTATCTTATTATCCCCATTTTTTTAGATGAGGAAACTGAGATACAAGAATTAGGAAATTTGTCTAATGTCATAAAGCTAGTAGGTGGCAGGTCTTGGATTTGAACTCAGTCTGATTTCATAGCTCTAACTACATTCATAGCCCTAACTACGCTACATGCATTAGTAGATCAGTAGTGTGCAAATATATATTAAATAATATGTGTATATAGAACATGTATGCCCAGAGTTTTTATCTTATTTTATTTTACTGGTGAGAGAGTAGAATTAAAAAACATATATTCTGTGACTTTTTTCAATCACAGACTATGCCAGGGTAGGCAAAATTTTCTGTAAAGGGCCAGATAGTAAACATTTTAGGCTTTGTGGGGCTAGAGGCAAAATCAGGGATATTATATAGATATTCATATAACAGAAAGAAAACAAATTTTCACAATTTTTATTGATGAAATAAAAAATGTAATAACTGAATATAATATTTTGTCATACCAGTCCTCTAATGAGAACAAAGAAATTCTTTTCGGTGGGATAATATTTCACTTGAGTGGGGTTCAAAATCAGTGTTCCCTATCATCAGATCAATTGTAAATCTTTATCTGTAAAAACTATTCTTAATCTATGGCCCCAAAATAGACATTTAGCATATCTTTCCTCTGGGCCATAGTTTGCTGATCCTGGATTACTCCATTATTGCCCAGTCTGTGCAAACTCCTCAATACAGTCCCAAAAATCTTACCAGCTTTGATCATTGCTGTTGCCCTGATGACTTTTTTTTTTTACTGATTTTCCTTGGACATTGTCTGATTTCTCCTCAAAGGCCTCATGGTCTAATAGAACAAACAGAAGTCAAGAAGATCTGAGTTGTGTCACTTTATAACATAGAGCAAGTGATTTAACCTCTCTGTGCCTCAGTTTCCTATCTGTATGTAACTAGGTTTTCAAGCCTCAACATGCTGCGGGCAAAGATGAAGTCACCAGTTTCCCTGATGCTTGTCCCCACCTTCTCATAATGGGTCTTTGGGACCTATCAAAGCCTCCCTCAGTGACTTCTGGAGTTCCCACCTGTACAGGCCCACACCTGCTCAAGCACCGTGGAGTCTGATGGTGTTGCCATGGCTCCACTGGGTGCCATTACTGATGCACTGGATCCAGATCCCACCTATGACACCAGAGCTGTTGGTCTGTTGCCCAGGATGACTTGGGAGGGAGGTTGCCTGGTCCATCCTATAGTTCACCATTAGAGGGGCACCAAAATACTACTGCTAATGGCCCAATATTTAAGAGAGTTTCTGGTAAAATAATCCTTCCCATGTCAGCACCTATCCCATAGAATTCAGAGAGATCACTGGGGTATAAGCCAGGAGAAGCCTCAGGCCCAGCCAGGGGACTAACGTCAAAACCACACTGTTTCTTGGATGACCATAGCATTCTTATCAAGGAAATCTCTCTAAACCTGCCTGGGCTGCTGCTTCTTCTGGGACGTTCACTCCAGAAGGCTCTTTAGGTTCTCTGAACATTATCCTCTGTTGAGCTTATCCAACCTATTCACTTGGAATTGAGGTAAGAACATCCAATTACATGTTCAACAGTCAAGAATAAAAGCAATGATTCAATTACGACTTTCTTTTGCACTGAATGACAGCTTAAAACAAGCACACAGAGCTCCGCCCCCACTGATATATCCAGTTGAGTTCCTCTGGCTCTTTCATTCTATGTCCTGGTGACTTGGCTCTTTTCCTTTGGGTGACATCCTGATGGGGCAGTGACCCCATGTGAAGCCTTCTCAGAAAAGGCAAATTGGTGGTTTCTGGGTGCAAGTATGTGTGGACTATGCAGGGTCTGTGGCATCCATTTCCCCTTGAAGTTTGCCAGATGTGTCTGCCTGATATGAACAGCCACCACTCTGATGGCTTCAGACCTCACTGTTCCAAAGGTTGCAGATGCTAACCAGCACTGCATAACTGTGCTGCATTATTTAAAGTCATACTTCTGAGTGGTCTCAGCCAGCTCATACTGGACAGAAGTGAATGTTCCCAGTCTGCCTTGGTCCAGTCCAGCAGAACCACATCTGTGTTGTTAACCATTCTCAAGTGAGAACCACTGTGAAAACTCACTTTTAATGGCTACATGATCTTTCATCATAAAAATATGATTTATTTAACCATTCCCCCATTGTTAAGCAAATATGTCATTTTCAGATTGTTTGCTCTTATAAAAATTGCTTGAGTGAACATATTTGTACATGAATCTTTGTGCCAAACAATATGAAATGTACACAATCATGATGAAACTGACTGGCAAAGCAGATGCTGCCTGAGTCATAGGTCATCATCTTCCAACCAAAGGAAATTTAGAAGTTCCTGCTCTCTTGACAGCCAAGTTGACTTAGAACTCAGTTGCTTGCCACTACAATTCTCCGTTGGTTTCCCAAAAGACTGTAAGGTGTAAAGGGGATTCTCTGGGAGGAGATAGGCACAGAAACAGGGCTCCTGAAAACTAAGAAGTGTTCACTTCTTCTGGAACTGCTCTTCTCCTGTTGTCATTTGAATACAGGAGTCAGCATATTCCAAGGACTTCCGATGACAGGCTCACCTTCTTTTCTAATGTATCTCATTATTTTAGGTGTCTTGTTATTTAAATAGGCTTAATTATATAAACTGCAGCCTATTGCATCAGATGGGATGATGTCAATCTTGAAATAATTGGAAGTTTCATCATAGAGTAACCTTGGCATATTTCTGAGGTTTGTTTCCTGCCCCCACCTTTTACACCCAAAATGCATTCTTAATTTCTTGCAGAGGCGATGGTTTATTTGCAATCACAAAACCACCACCTTGCACATTATCTCACTTGATTCTCGGAACAATACACTGAAGTACAAACAGCTATTTTTATTATCTCAGTTTTATAGAGGCAGAAAAATCAGGCTCAATGATGTTAAATGTTTTCCGGTCTGTTTCCCAGTCTCGAGGAAGGCTTCTGGCTGGAAACTGCCCCTTGTCACCCAAGTCTGCAAACATAGCATAGCAGCCACAAAGGCTCAAAGTACTTGCTCAGGGTTTCAGATCTCAGCCTCCCTCCCCACCGTTTCAGTACCTGTATATGGTATTTATGGGTCCTTTAAATGTGCTATTGGCTCTACCATCCAAAAGGAGGACGATTTCTTTGAGCAAAATGACCCGAGACAAGAGAGGGGGAGAAACTAGCTGGTTTTGGTTAGCTCTAAGAGAGGCAGTGAGGTGACTGGTGAGCGGCAGGAAGTGACCACCAGACTCACCTTTTAGGGTGTCTGGGCTCCAGGAAGACCGGTGCTTCTGTCTTAACCAGGCTTCCGTGATTGGCTGGGGTGGGAGTGGGAGGGTCTTGCTGTGGCTTTCACTTTCTATTCCCTCCACAATCTACTTTCAGGTTTCCTTTTCCAAAAGCAATGTCAAGAGGCACCAAACTAGTCACTGCAGGTGGCCTACAGCCACAGTTGAACTTGAATTATTTGCCAACATTTTAAATCATACTTAATAATATTGCTTAATAGTTTGGCTTTTGATGTTTCTTGAAAAAACGGGAAGATTAGGCTAGTTGGCCTGCGCTTTTATGTGGAGGCAGCTGCCGCAGCTGAGAAATGACAACCACTTTCAATGGGGGGTGCTCCACCTCCCCCACTCCCAGCGGCTGCTTCACTTCATCTCTTTGGCCTCTGTAAGGATTTGAGTTTGACACCTTTGAAGGAAAGAATATGATCCTAAGGCACAATAAGCACTTGAAGTGAACAAATCTATGTCTGTTGAAAAACAGGCCCAAGTTTCTCATCCTTCCTTATCAGTTGTTCACCATGCAGCTACTAGAATGCTGTGGTTAGTGGCGGGAGCCTCAGTTTAGGAATCTGAGAGTGGGTTTGAGTCCAGGCCCTGGCATTCATTAGTTCCGTGGTGACAAGGAAGAAAAATTCAGTCTCGATGGGTGGGTCCCTAAGTGGGCTGCAGCAATCCAAGGAGTGGCAGGAGACTGGGAGACCACTCTCAGGGGGACATGCAGAGGGATGTAAGGTGGAAGGAGGCTGATCTTCCTAGCTGACCCTCAAAGCAGTTCAGGAAGTGAAAACATCAAATGTGCAGAGGATGAGAGACACAGGGCTGAAAACAGCCTGCACGTAGAACAATTTTTACTGAATTGTTATTAAATTTGTTATTTAATATAACAAATAACAATTTGTTTAAAATAACAATTTTAACTGAAAGCCTACACATAGAACAATTGGACCTTCCCATCTTACCCTTATCCGTGAAGCAGGGGCTTCATCACCCAGGAAAGGTACTGACAGATTTCACTCTAAAAAAAGGACTGAATATCCCTAGGGGGGTGGGGGTGGGGGTCACTCCAGTATTCGGGACTCCCAGTCACTTGGAGCTGTCCAGTCAACCAGCCCAGGCACACAGAAGTCCTAATCCGCTATTTTGTGACTTTGCTTTTAATTAAGAATGGGCAATGAAGAATCTCTAGGCACTTCAGGAAAAACACTATGATAAGAGAGACAAAATAAACAGGAAAAAAATGGATGTTAGCTGAACCTGTGGTGGTAAACATTTCACAATATATGCAGATCAAACCATTATGCTATAAGCCTTAAACTTATATAATGATATATGTCAATTGTTTCTCAATGAAACTGGAAAAAAATATAAACAGGAAGAAAACAGTAATCCTGGAGGAAACAGTTATTTTGAGGACGAGAACTCAAATCAAACCAAACTAAACCAAAAACCTCCAATTAATATATTTAAAAAGACTCATGAAGGTATTTCAACCATGAGAATAGGATACTATGACAAAGGACAAACAAGATGTGCTCTTATAAATTAAAAATATGGCTACTGATGTTATAAAAGAATCAATGGGAAGTTTGAAACATACGCTGCCTGAAAGTAGAACCAAAGAAAAGAGAACTTACTTTCTTACCAAAGAAAGTAAGAACAAAGAAAAGAGACATAGGAAATAAGTACAGATGGTCCAACATCTAATTAATAGTAGATTCAGAAAGAGGGAGCAAAGAAAATCAAGAGTAAAAACATTATCAAACATAAGATAACACTATAGGATAACTTTCCAGTACTGAACGCCACACATCTCTAGGTAGTATGGGTCTGTTAGTAGTAAACACAGAGTTTGAAAATGTGAGAAATGCGCTCACTGGTCCAAACTTAGTCCAAGAGAACAGCAGAGCGAGGCTTTATGACGGTCCTGCAAGATCAGGTGCCTGGTGAGCAGGCTCACTCCGGGCGGTTACAACAGGCAATTTATTCCTTAGCCCGCGAGTCCCTCCTCTAGCTCCTCATTGGCTGAGTACGACAGGGTTCACATTCTTTCCCAGACGTTGCCTATAAGCAAATTATATCTTTATTAGGCTTTTTTTTAACATTTGTCTTAATTTCATTGGCTGCATTTTATTTTCAAAGAGATACAGAGCCCTCACTTTCTTATCTTAATCCCCCTCCCCCTCGCAGCTGGAGTGACTCCCTGGTACATGTTCTGATATGTAGGCTTTTTATGAGCAACCTTTTGTTTAAACATTAATTCCTCTGGGAATAAATCACATTTAGTTTTGTGCTATTTCTAACCGAAAATAAGACTTGCCTAGTCACATAACCTGATTTTAAACACCAAAGATTAAGAGAACACTTGAAAACCTTCCCCAGTTAAAAAAAAAGGCCATCTATAAAGGAATGAAAATAATAATCTAAAAAAAAAAAACAGGTTTCTCATTGGCAATGCTTGGTGTTAGAAGACAATAGTGAAATGCCTTCAGTGTTCTGTAGGAAAATGATGTTCAACCTATAATGTCATACTCAGCCAAGCTATCATCCAAATGTTAGTTTTGGGACTAACAGATCTCAGAAAATTGACCTCACACACCATTTCTTAGGAAGGTACTTGAAAATGTGCTGCAACAAAATAAAGGCATAGTCAAAGAAGCAGGAAAATGTACATCTTGGAAAACCTTGAACTGGCTCAGGGAAGTCATGAAGGGAAATCCCGTCATGCCAGCTTGCAGCAGGAGGGCGGGCTCCTCCCCTTAGAGGCGAGGGCTTAAAAACTCAACAGAATAGCTTGTGGGATGAAGACACTAGGGGAAAAAAATGAGCTCTAATAAAGAAAAAGGCACCAAGATAAAAGAAAAGCTAATTGAAAATCCAAGGAGAAAGAGAGGCATACCATAAAAGGAAGAGCAATATCCATAAGCATTTTGCCAACATTTTGCCTCTTCAGAAAACAGTATTTTCAGGGTCCCAACAATGTGAATGTTGTTTAAGTGATTTTCATTTTTTAGGTTCAGTCTTTCGGAGAGTAAATTATGATTAAGAATAAAATGTGAATGTTTTTTTCCTTATAATTGTATACAGCAGACGTTGGGAGGTAGATGTGGAAGATAAGTGTAGGGATGCTGTTACCTTTAATCCTAGAAACAGCCTTCAGTTGATAGAACAAGAAATAAAGGTGCATAAATATAACACAGGTAACCTATGGAGAAACAAAGAAGTTATGTAACTATATAAAGAGAAGAAGGGATGCTGGTGAAAATGAGCTAAATCTCCATTTATTATGTAAGGAGGAAAATAGATAAATACTAAACAAATCAATCAATAGTGATTGGAGCATAATATTTAAAGATAATAGAGATAACACAAGGAGAAATATTTAAAAGAGCTAAAATGAATGTTTCTGAGGAACAGGACTGGCAGAAAGGTAAGGTGGGGCAGGGGTATTTTCAGTACTCTTTTCTGCTCAGCCTCTCACCATGTTGCTTTGCTACCTACTACCCCACCCATTCCCAATGCCCTCTCCCTCATCTCTAGGTTTATGGCCCCAATTTGTCTACTTACTCATTTGAAACCAATTTGTTTGTTTAAAAAGTCAACTAGAACAAAAGGCATAATCTGACTCAAAGTCTCCACAAACATCTAATCCCAATGAGTTTTGGCTGTTACATAAAAAGGTCCATTTTCTCACAGGGCATGAGGGGCTTCTGGAGTTATTCTGCTCTCTGCAGATCCAGAAGCATTAAGGAGCCGCAACAGGGTCAGGATGGAACGGTGATGATGATGATTCCGATTCTGATTCTGTTCATCTGGCATAGAGAAAAAATGGTTACGACTTGTATTAGCTTCCTATTGCCGTGTAACAAGTGACCACAAGTTTAAGCAGGTTAACACGACATACATTTATTATTTCACAGTTCTAGGTCAGAACTTGCCAGAATGAGTGCCCCGTTTAGTGTCTCACAAGACTGACACCAAGGTGTAGGTCAGGCTAGGCTACTATCTGGAAGCTCTGGAGAAGAATCTACTTCCACATTCATTCAGAAGATTGGCAGAATTTAGGTCCTTGCAGGTGTAGGGCTGAAAGCCTTGTTTTCTTACTGGTTTTTGGCAAGTGGTTGCTCTTAGCTCTTAGAGGCTGCCCTCAGGGCCTTCCCATGTGGCCTCCTCTATCTTAAAATCAGCCATAAATCTCTCTCTTGTACTGAAGCCTTTTCATGCTTTGAATCTGTGACTTGTGCTACCAGCTAGAAAAGCTCTCAGCTTTTGAAGTGCTCATATGACTAGGTTAGGCCCACCCAGATCATTTCCCAGTCCTATAGTCAACTAACTAGTAGCTTTAATTATATTTGTCAAATCCTTTTTTCATGTTACATAACATAATCACAGGAATAACACCTGAGGACAAAGGTCATGGGGTGGGTGGAGACCATTTTATTGTTCTATATTACTCAGAAAATTACTATTATTTTTATATATGAAGTGTTTTATGATAAAATCATATTGAAAAGTACAAAGAGGAAGTTTTTAAAAAATATGCCCCAAATCTTACTTCCCAGAAACAGCCATCAACATTTGGAATATATCATCTCAACAGGTCCTTGTGCATAGAAACAGAAGAAAAATCAATGGACAACAGTGGGATTTTACTCTGCAGATTACTTTAAAGTAAAATTATTAAAATTAATTTTATAGAAAAATAAACAAGCAAAACAGAAGTTGCCGAATTTCAACTAAATGTTTCTATATCACAAAAATTCTTAAAATATCCCCTTAAAGATAAGAAAAACTAGTAGAAAAAAATCAAGAAGTTGGAATAATTTTGTTTTCAAAAGCTTTAATTCATGCATTCACTTTTTAGAGTGATTATTTCCCTGCCATTAAAGATGGGTAGATTTACATACTTACAAGTACCCCCACTTTCCTTTCACTACTTCCCAATTTTCATTAGGCATATAATTATTTTTACAGTGTAAAAGTTTGCAATGTTTACATTATGTTCTTTAACCATAAATTCCACAGCTGTACAGTTTTAATTCTTATTGAAAACAATTAAAAAAAACTAATCTTCAGTATTTTTGTCTTAATCTTCAATTCTCCTTTTTAGATTCATCCGTTCATTGACTGGATTTCAGTATAAAGAACTTTTTTAAGAATGTGGAAATCCTGAGTTCTTCCATGCTTGATAATGCTTGTCAATAACCTTTATACTTAAAGGACAACTTGGCAGAATATAAAATTCACGAACACACCTTCAGGCTCCAGCCAGCCAGCCAAAGCCACAAGGACATTCAGTTTACATAAGGGATGTTCCTACACAATGCTACTCCTTCAAGACTGGGAGAGGTAGCAATTTCACCTGATTCATAGAAACAAACATAGAAAGTCAAACAAAATGAGGAGACAGAGGAATGAATATGAGCCAAACAAAAAAAAAACAAGATGAAACTTCAGAAAAAGAATTGAACAAAATGGAGTTAGGCAATCCACCCGATAAAGAATCCAAAGTAGTGGTTATAAAGATGCTCACTAGACTTGAGAGAAAAGACTGTGAACATAGTGAGGACTTCAACAAAGAGCAAATGTAAAAAAGAATCAATCAGAATTGAAGAATACAGTAAGTGAATTGAAAGCTACAGTAGAGGGAATCAGCAACAGATTAGAGGATGCAGAAGGACAGGTCAGGGATCTGGAAGACAGGAATATGGAAAACACTCAAGCTGAACAGCAAAAAGAAAAGAAAGAATTTAAAAAATGAAGATAGATTAAAGGACCTTAGGACAACATCAAGCCTACTAACATTCACATTATAGGGGTCCCAAAAGGAGAAAAGAGAGAGAAAGGGGCAGAAAACTTATCTGAAGAAATAATAAGTGAAAACTTTCCTAACCTGGGGAAGGAAACAGACATCCAGATCCAGCAAGCATAGAAAGCCCCCCACACAAGATGAACCCAAGGACACATAGTAATTAAAATGTCAAAGATTAAACATAATCAAAGAATCTTAAAAGCAGTAACAGGAAAGCACTAGTTTTCCATACAAGGGAAACCCCATAAGGCTATCAGTTGGTTTTTTCAGCAGGAACTTTATAGGCCAGAAGGAAGTGGCATGATATTTTCAAAGTGCTGAAAAGAAAAAAAAACTACATCCAAGAATAGTCTGCCCAGAAAAATTATCATTCAGAGTTGAAGGAGAGATACGGTTTCCCAGATAAAAAAAGTTAAAGGAGTTAATCACTACTAGCCTTACAAGAAATGTAAAAAGAACTTCTTTAAGCAGAAAAGGAAAGGCCATAACTAGAAGTAAGAAAATTAATGAAAGTAAAAAATTTCACTGGTAAAAGCAAACAGATAGTAAAGGTAGAGTAGATCGATCATTTAAAAGCTAGTGTGTGAGGGGTATACGAAAGTAGTAAAATCAATTAAATCTAAAAAAATTAGTTAAGAGATTCACAAAATAAAAAGATATAAAATATGACATATATATAAAAACATGGAGGGGGGAGTAAAAAATGTAGTGATTTAAAAATGTATTTGATCTTATGCAACCCATCAACTTAATATAGACTGACATACATACTTAGGATGTTAAATATGAACTTCATGATAACCACCACAAACCAAAAATCTGTAATAGATACACAAAAAATAAAGAGAAAGGATCCAAGCATAACCCCATAGAAGGTCAGAAGGTCATCAATCACAAGGTAAGAAGGCAAGAGAAGAAAGGAGCAGGGAAGAACTATGAAAAAAAATCAGAAAAAAATTAACAAAATGGCAATAAGCACAAACCTATCAAAATGTAAATGATCTAAATGCTCCAATCAAAACACAGAGGGTGACTAAATAAAATATGAGCCCCTTCTCTATGCTGCCTACAAGAGACTCACATCAGACCTAAACACACATACAGACTGAAAGTAAAGGGATGGAAAAAGATATTCCATATGGAAGTGAAAATGAAAAGCTTGGATAGCAATACTTATATCAGGCACAATAGACTTTAAGACCAAGAATGTGACAGGAGATG